AATGCTATTGTCAGATGTAGAGCCTGAAAGACACAAAAGGCTCTACATCTGACAATAGCACTACAGATAAGATCAGAATTTCAACAGCCAATCCAAATGCTAAAGAACCTTCTGAGGAAGCCTCCTCAGGAAACAACCCATATACAAAAGAACCTCCTCGGGATTAAATCAGCAGATAACTTGCATAGCATTAAAAGTCAGAGCAGCTGCCTCAGCACCATCTTGGGGATGAAGTGTGTTCCAGTCCCCTCCTCAGGAAAGCTCCTCCATTAGCATGTTCACAGCCTGGGGAACTCCTACGCGATAATGACTCAGCCCTACCCCACCTTCCTGAGTAGATACATATACCTTCCGGAGTATATATAAATTACCTGCCCACCATTTTTCTTCTCACCTCGACACAGAGAGTACTCCACCTTTCTGTGTTATTACCTCTGAGGATGCCAGTCACAGCTACTGGTGAAATGTCAGGTCCTACAATGCCAAGACCACAGCCACACAACCCGGAAAATCTACAACAGCTAATTATTTTATCCACATACGGAATTTATTATAGCCTGCCCTTTCTGCACTTACAAGGGCAGAATTATGTCAGGAACGGTGGGAGTAGCGGGAAGGTCTTTGAGAAACCGGAAAATCTACAACAGCTAATTATTTTATCCGCATACGGAATTTATTATAGCCTGCCCTTTCTGCACTTACAAGGGCAGAATTATGTCAGGAACGGTGGGAGTAGCGGGAAGGTCTTTGAGAAAGGGAACAGATTGCAGCGGTTCCCATTTGTGAGTTAAAGCCATCGGGCCTATATATTTGGTCCATGCATTGAAAGGGCTGGTCACCACCACCACCCTTTTCTCAAAAATCCTACATAGCTCTTGCTTTTGCTGTACCTAGAGATGTAAAATTTCCAGAAATTTTGAAGCTCTGAAAAAAACCCGTTTTTTTTCAATTTTTTTCGGGGGGAAATGGACATTTTTGGAAAAATTGAAAAAAATGCTACATTAGCACTTTTTTTTTCTTTTCCAGATTGAATATCATTCTGTTACATTAGGAACATAAAATATGACTATGGACATTTTTACTTGGCATGAAATTATCACAACTAGCATATTAAAAATATAGCGTATCCAAACAATTATTACAAACAGAATACCCACCCACATGCAAAAAGAAAACG